GGCATCGGTCAACAATCAACAGTCATCACTTGTTTATCGTTATAGTTTTAACTTTTAACATTGAAGACGTTAACTACCGTTACCGCCGTTATTTCCGTTATGTAATGACGGATTGATGCCGGGGCAAATTAGTCCAAGAGAATTACTGCTTTCGTGCAATGCCCAGTCAGTTGGCAGCTGTCGAGAGGACGACGAGAAGTCCCCCTTTGTGCATCGTCTAATGGCGTTAAATATACGATCGACACCGTTAACGAGGTACGGGCACTGCTAACGTTAGCCGTCGAATCGGGACGTTCAGGGAGATGATGAATTCTAATGTACAATGGGGACTAGACACCTCACTGATTTCTTCACGGAGAATCTCTCAATCCTCACTTGTAGCTTTATTACGACAACAGTCTTAAAACATTTTAATTATTGTTTATTCTTTTGGGAGCTAAATTGTTGAAACCTCTCCACAAAGTTGATAATTGCAACCACCTCCCCAAAATTTCAACAATAGTCGCAAGTAAAATTTTACTTGTTCGTAGCTACAATCCTCTTGTACTTGTCAAAGATTCAGTACTTGTACCCTCTGTGATGTTAGAAATTTACTGTTTATGCATATATTAATTAGACATATTAATTTCTGTATACATATAATTAGGTCGATTGAGACCGGTTATAAATGGATTTTTTTTTTTATAATTTTTGAGTTGTAAGTAATAGTGAGGCATTTATTATTTTTGAGTTTTGAAGGTTTTTAATATAAATAAAATATTTTTATTGAATAAAAAAGAAAAAAATTTCTGTTTTCAAATTTCTGATCGGGCTTCAAACTTTATATGAGAGCTGGGCTCGGGCTCAAGACCTAGGCTTGATGGTCAGGCCAGGCTTAGGCTTGAGCTTGAGTGTATTCTATTAATACATATACAAAGCCCGGCCTAGCCTATGAATAGGTATGAATTCAATCATCTGAAGACTCATACAAATAATGACTGATATAAAAATGGAATGGTTATTGGATGGTTCTATTCTCATGGAGTTAAAAAATTTCCTATACTTGAAATTGGGTTCGAAATCAATTAATCTTTGTTTTTCCCAATTGAGGTTAATTGATTGACTCGATTAAATACTTGACATGCTTGAGTATCAACTCGACTCAATTCAATTACCATCGAACCAAAATCGAGCTTGAACTTAAGTTTGAATACTTGCATTATACAATTTTAATTAACAATAAAAACGACTATTTTTTGTTATCATAAAATATTAAATAACATAATATATTGAGAGTATTATAAATAAAAAACATATTAAAAATTAATATTTTATTAAAGACTCAATTAGGCCTATGAGCCACTCAATTATGAAACTTTAACTCAATTCGATTAGCCACTTGAGTTGGGTTCAAACTTGATTATCTGTGAATTGAGCTCGAATAGCTTACAAGTACCTTGACTTGCTTACCCCTTAGATGACGGTTAGAAGATTTGATGCATCATTTAATTATAATTATTGATATTTGGAACAATTAATGCGAATAATGACTATAAGCATTTTATTACTTAATCTCCTCTCGGAGTGCAATTTAGTTACCCAAGTTTAGGCTCACGATTGTTTTGCTGGGAATTGCGATTATTTAGGTTCAAAAATTCAATTCAGGCTGCGTTTGTTTTTTGGTAAATCAATGTAAAACTCAATCGATGGATTTAAAATTTTAGCAGACCGTTGGAGTTTTTTTAATATGATAATCGATGGAAAAGTCAACCAATGAGAAGGTTTACATTAACCTTATACTGAAAACAAATGCATGAAAAATATGGATTAGGTGTGAAGTTTTACACTAACATGTATAAATGCGAACCGACAATAGAATTTTACGCTAATTTGCATTTACACCGAAAACAAATACAACATCAATGAATTGGCTGACCTTGTAATGTATTGTATGGCGGATAATCATTATCTTATATTTTTCTTTCTTGTTTCTTAAATAAGAAAGAAAGAAAGCAATACGAATTAGTTCAAGTCAAGAATATGGGAAAGCATGTGCATATAAACCACATGATGCTGAGTTTTTGGCTTGAAACTTGCCACATGAGAGAGAACATTGATGATCATGAGAAGGAAATCTGTCGAACATCCAATCAGTACGCAAAATGCCATGGTTCATTTAATAGAAGACCATTCCTTTACCTATATGTAAACACCCAAAAGAAAAATTAAAATGGTAAACGAAAAAATAAAAAAAAAAAGAAAGAGAGAAAGAAATTATGCTTATCAAAGTACGTACTCCTGTCTTATATTTTATATTTTGGCACCAATAAAAGCATTCCTGTTCATAGGTGTTTTCTGAATCTTGAACAGACAGGAAAGGGATGTTTATGTCTTCCTCACTAATACATGTGCTTTGAACTCCCACATGATGAGAGGATGAGGTGGTGTAGCACATGGTCCCTTTGAATCTACTGCTTTGATTATCTATTTATATATGTCCTTCCTTCTTTTTTGTTGCAAGTGTTGACAAAATTCATATCTCATGTGATACACAGTATACACGTGCGCACATACAAGTACTCCCCTTATGATTAATACTTTATAAATAAATATATCCTATAATCTACTAAATTAAAATTTAGAGGAAAGAATAAGGGTTTGGAATCGGACCAACTGTTTGGTTGGGTAGAGTCGGAATCTCATTCTCCCATCCCTGGTGGAAAAACATTCTCCCATTTGAGGGAATGGCCATTCGCTCCCCACCCTTGCATGAGAATGAGAATCCATTCCAGCTGATTCCAATTCCAATTTTCATCTAAAACAAATAGGCGGGAGGAATAGACTATTCTGATTCTGATTCCTGTTCCTACTGTAAACCTAATTCTGCACTTTACAATTAATATTCCCTCATTTTAAGTACTAATCATTTTGAAGATAATTTCTGTTTTTATTAGATAATAAAATGTGTTTTCTTGTTAAATTTGTCCATACACATAAATATTTATAAAATTAACATTTATGACTAGTATACAAATTTAAATATTGAGTAAAAAGTTCCTCCATTTTTACTTTAATAGGAAATAAGGGATTTAATAGGGAAATAAGGGATTTAATGGAGAGGGGGGGGGGGGGGGGGGGGAATGTTGCAAACATTGATTATTGAAAAGTAGGTGGGAGGGGAATTGAGGATGATTTTTTTAGAGAAGGGAGACTCCGTGTGAGGCTTGTGGTGAGAGACCCATGGTATCCACACACTCCTCTTTCTATTATATAGATTCTTTAGAGAGGGGGCACTCCTCTTTCTATTTTAAGTCAATTTCTTAAGACTGTGTTTGGAAACGATGAAATAAGTGTGAATGCAAATATGTAGAGTGTAAAACAGTCCATATAAATTATAAAATTGGGTTAATTTTGCACTGACAAATTTACCTTCTTACCAAACAGACTTTTAACTGTAATGGATGCAAGCATGAATTCCAATAAAGTATATGCCATTTTTATCAAAAGCCCACTTGAATGCAAATTTATTCTTTTTTGTTTTATTGATGTACTTTTACATCTTATTATCAATGTAAATATGCATTAAAAAATGTATTTTCTCTCATTTGTCAATACATAAATGTAATGTTGCCAAATACAGGCAAAAATGAACCAGAATGAAAATTTACCCTGAACTAGAATTTACACTCCATTTGCATAATTTCCAAACGCAACCTAAGTTACAAAAATAGATGGATTTTTGTAACAGTGGCACAGATCAATGTTAACCTAATGTTGCAGAAGATTGGGACCAATGACATTGAAAAGTATGGCTCAAAACATCATCTTCATCATCATCTAAGCCATGTCCCAAGTAGAAAGATATGTTACCATGTGAAAAGCTTAGGATGTTCTTAAACATGGGTAGGGTACATAGCTGTCATTAAAACCAAGGAGGTAAAGATTTTCCTGAGGTTACAACAGTACTAGTCTCCTCAACTACCCTATCAACATGAACACGTAAAATACCTCAATTTAAATTCCATACTTATACAAATTAACACACACCTAGCTAGAATTAATCATTAGAAGATGCACTGAATACAAATCAACCTGTGCTTAATGGTTGCAGGATTTGCTTATTAAGATTTTTTTTTTCTAGTTTGAGAAGTAATGTAAAACAAGTACGGAACACCAACCTATATCATCCTATTTTAAGAAAGAAATTTAAGCTACTTAAGTCTAAATATAGGAAGGAACTAGAGAAGAGTTACAATATGTGGGAGATTTAAAGCCTGTAGCTGAGCCCAAGAGGCCAAGGCCATGTGACCTTTCTTTGTTGAACAGGCATACCATTGCTAGCTCTACCACCTTCTTTTATATAGATCTTATAAGATATTAAATTAAGCACTGTTCAACTGTTTATGTGTCACGTAACCCTCTAACAAATAGGAACAAGTGATGCACATGCAGAGATTAGGGACCCCATATCCATGGGTTATTGTACGTACATAGAAGGTATTACAGGTCAGGTCAAAAGGGGAACCTGCCTGTTTAGGTGATCCCAGATGTTAGCTAGGGAGACACTGTTTTCTCTTATTGTTGGTTAAAATCCCCCCAAACAACCAACTCTCTCTGCAAATGCAATTGGCTCAATTCCTTTATTTTACTTTTCTTTCTTTCTTCTTCTTCTTCTCTCTCTCTCTAATTATGTATCGACCACTAATTATTCATCTCGTTGAGTCGCTTCCACCCCCCTTCAGTTGTTTCCATTTTCCAAAGAGCATAAGTGCTCACCCAAGGCCAAGGCAAAGGTAATTACTGTACCCGAAAAAACAAGGAAGAAAAAAATAGTGAAAAAGGTAACAGTTGAAAAATGTACAACAGGTTAAGGGTATTTTTGCCCGTAGAAAAAATCAGCATGGCTGGTGCATCGATCGACCATTGTTATTTTGACACGTCAAAAACCAAAATTTGTATGTTTTAAGGTTGGTGTTGACGTTAAAACATCACGAGATAATAATAATAATAACAGTGGATGAGAAAAAAATATTTGCAGACTCCCTTTTATTCTGGTCTGGAAAACCTGTGTGGGTTGTGAAGCAAAGCTAAGTGAGAGAGAGAGAGAGCAGAAGTGCAGAGCAGCAGAAGCGAACGGAAGAAGAAGATCAAAAAAAGAAACAAGTATGTATCGGCATATATATCCAAATATTTCCCATTTCTGACAATTTCTCATTTACCAATCTCTGTCTTCTGTTCTTTCTTGCTTTGCAGGAACATTTATACACCAACCCACGAAAGAGGATCAGCTCTTAACTGAGAGGAGGTAGAGAAGGAAACGAAGAAGAAGAAGAGAAAACGAACAGATAATACACATATTTAACAAAGATACGCTTTTTAGAGAGATAATCTAATTAATATATAAAAAAGAAGAGAGAGAGCAGGTGAAGAAGAAGATGGGGAGAGGAAGGGTAGAGCTGAAGAGGATCGAGAACAAGATAAATCGTCAGGTTACGTTCGCAAAAAGAAGGAACGGCCTTCTTAAGAAGGCTTACGAGCTCTCTGTTCTCTGTGATGCCGAGGTTGCTCTCATCATCTTCTCTAACCGAGGCAAACTTTATGAGTTCTGCAGCAGCTCTAGGTATGCTTTCTCACATTTCCTTCTCCTTTTCTCTTCATCTCCCTCTTTCTACTGTTTCCTTGATGTCAGGAAATCTTTATGCTTCTCTCTTGTTATTTTTCCTACTTCTGTTAGAAAGCAAACTATACTTTTTTATTTTATTTTTCTACAAGATCTGATTTTGGATGTTACTTTGCTAGTTTTATGAGGTATTGATGGTGTCCATTATGAATAAAATGTGTGCGTTTTCTTAATTTTTCTTTAGTTTTTGTTGTTCATTGTTTTTTCTGATTTTTTCCTTTTGATGTAAGTTAAGGTTAGGCTATGATCCGCTTTTCTATGTTTTGGTTCTGGTATTTGTGAGATCCGAATCTGTATGGAGCTTCTCGGGATTGTTGGTATGGAGATCTGCTGATTAATTGTTTTGCGAATCCGTCAATCATATCAATGGATTTTCTTAGTTTTTCTTGGTGGGTTTTAATTTTCAACTACGGATCAACTTATTTTAGATATTTCTCTCTCTTTCTCTCTCTCTCTCTCTCCGCCATCTCTTCTGCAAAGAACTGGATCAACCAGGTCTTTACTGGGAAGTCTGATGGATGATTTAACTTCAACGCTGGCAAAAGCAGGTTGCCAGTTCGATTCTGTGCGTCATTTTACGAGTGTTAAAGATGAAAATCCACAGGATCAGTCTTTAGATTTGATAGAACGTTTCACGTCTATGATCGGTTCGGTCCATTGGAAGTGGTATTTATTTGTTGTGAAACCTTTAGGTGTGCAATAAATCTTTGCCTGTTTGGTGCAGCGGATGCAAAATTGTACTAACCTTTCAGATAAGAAAAAGGATATATACTTTGTTGGTGTGGTCATGCACATCCAGATTTGAAATTCATAGTTGCCTGGGCCTTTCAGGACTTGAGGTTCACTTGTTCAAACACATCCTTTTCTATCTCTAGCGTTATTGCTTCTTTTTTTGGTTGTTATTAGAAAATCACCAATTGGCCATGGGCTGCATTACAGATTATATACAGACCAGTGATCTTCCTTATAGACCATCCTAATTTGCTTAGGTTTGTTGCAAGTTATGGTTCGCCTAGCAGTTTGGGATGTGTAACAGCCAAGAGGATATAGTGTTGGTGGCTGTTATGAAACTTCTCATTTCTGAAACTTGATGGGTTTTGGAGGTAGTGCAATTAAGTACCTTTCCATGTTTTAGGTTGCAAAAGGGCACTGTTTTTTTTTTTTTTTAGATCGGTAACAGAATATAGGAAAATCTTATCAAGCCAGGTCAGGGTAAGCAGAAAGGGAGAAAGAAAAGAAACATGCAAAAGGGTACAGCTGTGAATATGGTGTATTGGAGGTTGGTGGTTATCATGATTTGGAAGTTTCAGCCACAAGGGTGCTTCTTTCATGCTTACATCGAGTTTATGTTCAGCTATTGCTGATAAACAACATACCCATTTTTAAGGCCTACCAAGGTATGAAGCTTCAATTTCTTTGCTCTTTAAAAGCAAACCTCGACTGCAGTTATGGAGCTAAAGCCTACTAAGGTATGAATCTTCAATGCTACAACTGGTACTAGGAATATGATCAAATAACGTAATACTTAGAACAATAAATTACATGAAAATGAATAGAATCTGCAGTAAGTATGGATGGTCATGTGTCGATTCAGTTGAGATGACTAATTGAAGAAAGGTAGTCTGGAATACTTTTTATAGGGTATAGTGTCTGCCTGAACCTGAACAAATAGAGCATAAAGAAGGTACACCAATCGACTATGGAAGAATTAATAACCTAGGTTTTAATTCTTCTCCTTTTTTTCTTTTTTAATAAAACATTCATAACTACTTTTCAAAAAAAAAAGATCAAATAGAAGATACGTCAAATAGGGAATATAATTATTCACTTGGGTTTTAAGTCAATTAAATAATAGGGAATTTTAAATTTAAGGAATGGAAAATAGACTAAGTTGAATTGAAGTATATCTGGTAAAAAGTTTTCTCCCTTACTACCAACCAAAGAAAAAAAAAATACTTCTCTTACTTACCGAGAAATTCATGATTCTGTCCTATACATCACCTAGTCTCTCGTCTAATTTAATTTACTTTTTTTTTCTGTGTTTACCTTATAATTTTTCATAAGCTTTCTAGCATAAACTGAAATAGTGATATAAATAATCAATTACTAACAAGTGAGAAGGTGCTTTTATGAAGCAAGATATTATTATGTTCATGTGTCATTGCAACGTAGATCTGACCTTATATGAAGTTACTTGTGTTTCAACCAATATTTGTACAGGATAAATGTCAATTTTTGTGCAGTTCAAAGTTTCAATATGTAGATGTTTGTCATTTTTATTAGAAGAAATCTGTAAACCAATGCATATCATAGCCTAAAACTAGCCCAAAATTTTCTCAATTGCAGTAATATTAATGGCTATTGATCCTCAAATCACCCTATTTCCCCGTGAAGAACAAGATTATCTAACAACTAGGATTTTGGATTTCGTTTCACAAACAAGATTGTGTATTGGTTGAATATCCAGATTGCCTATACAAATAAAAAAAAAAAAGAAAAGAAAAACATCCACATTGCCTAGATAGTCCCACATTTGAATATGGATTTCCAAACAACAAGGCTATATATTTCACGCAAACCATGTTTCACTGTGATTAACATCATATTATGTAATGTGTTGCATGGAATGATCACCCTATATCTTCTCTAATTAAGCATCTCCCAGTATTAATAAGCATCATTCCGCCAGTTGGGAATGGGCAAAGTAATTGTCATTTGAGCATTTCAGAAACTTGTGCTTTAACATGGTTGTAATCTGATAATTTTTCCATTGAAGTTCTTCTTCCTGATGTTGATAAAATGATATTGAACATTCCAAAAGATTTTATGGTTAAACAGATAGATCTGTTTATATCAATTCAACATATCCGTCTCTTAAACAGGTTCATTTGCTTAATTATATGGTCTATTTTCTTTCCTCGAGCGATTAACCTTCATTGTTTTTACATTCTCCATTTATGAAAGTGTTCTTATTGTCTGGTTTGTGAAAACGTGAAAAATTAACTTGATTCAGTGAGTACACTAATGCATTTTGCCTTATCCTTTTTCAATAGAAGTGGGGCTAGGACATGGGCCAGGTTAACCAAAACCTAGCCCTAACCCTACCTGAAAGAAGTTAATTGGGTTGGGTTGGGTGAGGGCTGACTTTTGCCAATCCGGCTTGGGGTTGGGTTAGGGTTCACCCATTAGGCAACCTGACCCAACCCGAACCCAAACCCAACTCTACTATTGCTATTGGACATATGTGTTGTAGTTCAGTCACATACATATATACTTTCATAATCCATTTGTGTTAATGTCAAATTGTTATTAGTGATTTTCATTCATTATTTCATGTTTTGTTACCGTTGGTGTCATGATTTTGAATTTTGAATAGGAGAACTATCATAATTCATATTAAGGATTCGACTATGATATCAAGAAGACATGATACCAGAAAAACTTGGAACCAATCAACTGGTATCATAAAAGTGATATCCAATCGGGTAATATTTATCAAAATTCACGATAGGGTTTTGATTGGTCAAAGCCCTTCCTGTGTCATGCTTTTCAGGCAAATACCAATTAAAAATATGGTTAATATATGGTCATAAAAAGTTGATTTTAAGTTTCAAAATCAAAGATTAAGAAAATATGAGAGATCTTATGAGATTTTAAGAGGTTGGGAGAAAGTAGGGCTGCAAGTTGGGCCAGGTTAGGTCGGGTTGAGGCCAACCCTAGACCAACCCTAAGTTCTAAACCCCAATCCTAATCCTAATACAACCTGACTTTCAACCCGACCAACTCAACCCTAACCTTAACCCTAACTAAATTCCTTCAACCCTAACCCAACCCAACCCGAAGTCAATTTCGGGTTGGGCCCAATCCAACCTTCTTCCCATCCTCTAAAACCTCATAGAATTTCTCGATTTTAGATCTTAACTCAACTTTCACTACATATATTAATCCTATGTTTCATTAGTATTTGTTTGTTGACGTTATTTTTTTGTTCTTTTAGTACAAAATTCAGAAAAACAAGTGTTAGAAATGACTATAGTTTATTATGAGTTATGACTTATGATAGATCTTTCTTGGGCGGCAAACAACATAGAGGAGATGAAGAATAAAATTTTCAAAAAACATAAAATAATGTTATTAAGGTTTTAGTCTTTCTAGTTAGGATGAAGTGAAGTGATTATCTTAAAAGAAATACATGATACTATGTAGTGGGGGCTATACAAATATCATGCATCTCAACAAATCAATGTATGTTATATATTACATATATATATTTATATATGACATGTACTATAGAGTCGGGTTCGGGTTGGATTAAGTTGGCTAAGGGGTCCCCTAATCCGACCCGAAGTAAAGTTGGGTTCATGAATTTCAACCCTAACCCTAACCTGAACATCAACCCGACCCAACCCAATCCAACTTTTTCGGGCTGGGTTAGGGCCAACCCGGCCCAAGTTGCAGCCTTAGGAGAAAGGTCAAGTTGGGCCCAACCCGAGTCTAATCCAACTCAAAGTTGGTTGGGTTAGAGTTAGGATTAGGGATTCAGAACATCATGTTGGGTTAGGGTTGACCTCAACCCGGTCTAACCTTGCTTGATTTGCACACCCTATGTAGAAACTACGAACAGGTTCTGCTATTTCCTTACAACCATTGTGAATCAGTGGTTCTACTTATCATTCTTTGATTGATTTTTGTCTGAACGTGCTATAGAGTTGATTAACAACCTAATAAAAACATGCTATGCAATTATGAATCAGTGGCTCTACTTATCATTCTTTGATTGATTTTTATGTCTAAACATGCTATAGAAGCGATTAACAATCTAATAAAAACCTGCTGTGCAATTGTGAATAGTGGCTCTGCTTATCATTCTTTGATTGATTTTTATGTCTAAACATGCTATTAGAGTTCTGCGGAAAAAAATGATGTATAGTTGATTAACA